AGAACATCTAACACCTTGAATAAAGCTTCTCGTACCTTAAGAACGAGCAAGTCGCGTACCGTTTTTTTCTTTTTGGACTTAACTGTAACAGCAACAGCTATCATTTTATCTCTGGATGTGAACTTGAATAATTGGCAAAGGCTTTCTGAGTGTGTAGCAGAAGGATGATCTGTTGCAATGTGACATGGGAAAAGATTTTTGTTTTCATGTGAACTTGTGTTGTTTCTGTTGTGTTACTAGCATAGATCTTTGTCTACCTGAACCAACAAATGTTGCCTAACACACATAAAACCGTGTTGCTTAACTGGAGAAAATGTTTATAGAAGTGTTCTGCAATCTGATCACAAGCAGAGCAGAGACACAGCAGCGTTCTCTCACCAAGGTCAACCACACCAGGATAGGAAGGATACATGGGATATGAAAAAAAAACCAAACACAAAAACCCAAGATGGAAGGATTGAACAGCAAGAGATGCTGCTAGAAAGGAGAAGCTTGTGAGAATTTTGCCTTTGGCAGCTCTCATTAAGACTTTCTTGCTTGTAGAAGATAGGGTGGTGAGAGGAAAAATAAACCAACATTAAACGTACCCTTAAAATATTTTTTTTCTAACCTGCAGTGGTACAATATGATCCTTTCTCAACCCAGTTCCAGAGAACTACTCTTCCTTTACTTCCTATTCAAGCTGTTTAACAGCTTCTGAGCGTGGAGACATGACTAATGCACTACGCTAAGAATACCTGACTATTTCCATGAAAACACATTGTAGTGGTACTACGGTATCGAAGCAACGGGGACATTTTTCAGCCCCGAGGCTGCTGTCTCTTCGGTAACCACACCACTACAGGAAATTAGACATCCTGGATACACCATCCCTATCTTAACTTTCCGAAGGTGAACTGAGACTGACTGTATTCTCGCCAAAGAACACACGCAGACAGGTCATGCATCTCCCACACCAACGACAGGAATTTTGCCCAGCCCAAATGCAGCTTTCAGGTGTCGACACGTTTCACCAAGGAGGCCACACCAGGGTGAGCCTCACGCTCCACGCGGGAGGATGGATGCACAGCAATTAATGACTTCATTTCGCGCGACAGAATCTTGGTCTGCTTCGTCAGCCTGCTGATGTCTCCCAAAGTTCACACTCACGCCTTTCTCACAAACCTGCAGCCTAACACTCGGACCTCCAGCTCACCAGATTGTTTTTCGTCTGTAGCTGAATCTACAGGTTTTAAAACCATAAAGGTTTTGCACTTACAGGTTACAATTGTAATAATGGCGTCCGGCAGCGTGGCCATCAGCAACTCCTGTCAAGTCTTTCGCATTTCTGAATCCATAACAAAGCTGGCCAGTGAGAATCAGCCCAAAACAAAATGACGTGTAGGACACAATATTTAACTGTATTATGCAAAGACCAGATAAGATTCGTGGCGTTAGAGCAAGAAAACCCACTTAATGGCCAAACAAACAAGGAAGATACAACACTGATCTCGCAGTCTATTCATGTCAAAAATGCCTTTGTGCTATGGTCAGTACCCAGAATTATCTCTTTTTGTTAATACACAAACTCCTTCTAACAGGTTCATAATGCCAAAGCTCCACAAGATCTGGACACGAGCTAATTGGACTCGAGCTCTTCGTGGTCGGTGAGATGGAGTCACAAGATACCCAAGGCCACTACTAACCAGCACAGCTCGTCCAGCGACTCCCCTGGAGAAGCAACCTCCTGTCTGCAAATACAAAATGACACAACTACCGCTGTAACCGTTCATCTCGGACACACTTGTCGCGGTGAAGTTTTGTCACTACCAGTCCAATGTGCAGAGAACGCTTTTAGCTAAAAATCGAACGATAAGCACAATTAATGGAAGTTGATGCCCCGGGTACAAGACAACTTAAGTTCCAGACCAAGACACGCAGTGAAGATCACAGGAGCGATGATCATGCTTTCTGCTGTCAAGGATGCTGGGTCGGTGCCTCGTTACCTTCTGCCGTATAGGATGGAGTCACCCCGAAAACATCCTGCTCAAGAAAGGCAAGACTAGTCATCGGGACACATGGAATTAAATAACACACTCTCTCCTCAAAGAAAACGCTCCAAACGGCAGTCGGACTGCTGGCCACTCGCAGTGTCCCTGCGAAACGTGCATCACGACTGCGCACAAGAAGGCAGGGTGTAGGGAGCAATGCGGCCAACCTCTGCTACGCCGGCCTCGTGGTCTTGTGCCTTCCCGAGAAGCACACGCAAGGGAAAAATCTTATTTCACGGACCTATAAAGGGGGCTGGGTGTCTGCATGAGGTACAGCAGACAAACATCTGCCCTTGCACAGCCCTAGAGCCTCAGGACGATTCTTTCCCAGATGTAGACTAAAGTTGTGAAACAACTCATGGAGATTTCAGCTCTTGATTACTGTTGGCTAAGACTATCAAGACAAAGGTCTTTTGCCTAAGACCTTAGCCACAATTTACTATTCGTTAATAAAAAGAAATAAACAAACATGATCTGTTTCATTTATCTTCCAGTTACTATGGCTGAACTTGGCCAATTTTTTCAAGTTAACCTCTTTGAATAATGATTTCAAATAACTACAGTGATTTATTCTCATTGGAAAGCCTATAATAAATCTTTACATATAGGTATGATTTAACTCTGTTGTCATTTGATGATTAGCATGATCTCAAAGCCTCTCCTTCCCCAAAAAACTGACCAGGACAGGTTTCTGAGTCATAAAATCACTGAAGGAGGGAGAGCCTGCAGGTGCTACACACCCAGGGACTATCAGCGCCAATACACAACCACTGGGGCATTATTTATTGTCTTTGTGGTCACTACACAATGAAACTAGGACAGATCACCTTAATTTTTGTTTCTTTGGGAGGGTGGGACGGGGATTCTCCAACATCAGGTTTTTATTCCAGCTCCCCAAGACCCATCTCTGACAGATACATATCCTGACAGGCATCTAACAACCTAGCAATTCAAATAAAAAAGTGTTTTTTTCTGAATCCAAGGACTTGGCAGTATCACTGGTCAACTGGTGCTGCTTGTGGCTGCTTAACCCATTTAGTCACTTGCCAGTCCCAACATTTGTTCTGAGTTAATTCCTAAAACCAAGAGGAATCAAGTTGGTCCACTCGGTCTCCATTATTTTTCTTGCTGCTTCTGCAGTTGTCAGTAAAGGCTCTCCAGGTGAAAATGAAATGAGGTTGAATTCCTTCTGCATAAAACATGGCAGAAACCCTGAAAACTTTAGGATACTGTCTGGAATGAAGCCAGCAGTGTAAAAAATAAAGCTCATTTCCTCACCGTCAAACATTCCTCATTTGCCATTTGAAAAACACTTAAAAACCCCCTCAGCCCACAAAATCACAAAAAATAAAGTCACGTTTTTCTTTATCTGCTCTACTGCTTGGACACATATTTACCCAAATTCTCCGGATCAGCCTCACTTTTGATCTGTCTGTTTTCTTCTCGACTCCCCATCCCTGTTTTACCAGAAAGCTCCCGTGCAAGATATGTTGCTCAGGATATTTAGTGTAGAATTTTACTTTATTTAGAGAGAACACTGTAACAAAGGGATCGATGAAAACTTGGCCTCCCTTGATTTATTTTGAAATGTCTGACTTAAAACTTGATTTGGTGCCCCGAGTTGAAGATACATACACAAACTCTCTACTCTTCCCCTTAGACAGAAGATGCTCCAACTCCCCCCACCATCCTGGACGTTTTTAGCTCTATTGTTTCTTTCGGAACTTGGAAGAAAGTCACATATGGCATTCAAAACATGAGCAGGCAATGAGTTTGCACAACAGGATATTTCGTGTTTTAGTACCTCCTGGTATTTGATTTGACCTTTAGAGTACATCTGAGAACCGTCAGTGCTTTCAGAGAACTGAAAGCACCCCCCCTAAGTGGCTCACATGGTGAAAGGGAACACAAAGCATGACGCTGTGCGCACACAAATCCTCTCCCTGCTGCGTTTTTCATTTGCTCTCACTGCTTTGGGGCAGCTTTATTAACTGCTTACTTGATGCTGAGAGATGAACTATCAGCACCAGAAGCCCAGGGAAGCAAAGAAACTACCGACCACAGCAGACAAACTTGCAGAAGCCGCGATGTTCACTGGCAGCCGCAGAAGCCAATCACATCTTGGGCTGCATTAAAAGCAGCCTGGCCAGATGAGCAAGAGAGGTGATTCTCCTCCTCTACTCCACTCTCGTGAGATCGCACCTACAACACTGTGTTCAGTTCTGGGGGCCCCACCAAAAAAAATGACGTGGAGCTGCTATAGTGAGTCCAGAGGAGGCCACAAAAAAGATCAGAGAGAGGAAACATCTCTCCTATGAGGACAGGCTGAGAGAGTTGAGGTTTGTCAGCCCAGAGGACAAAAGGCTCCAGGAAGGTCTTGTAGCAGCTTAAGGAGGGTCTACAGGAAAGATGAGGAGTAACTCTTTATCAGGGTATGTAGCAGTAGGATGAGGGGCAACAGTTTCAACCTGAACAAGGGTAGATTTAGTTTAGGTATTAGGAAGAAACTAGTTTCAATGAGGGTGGTGAGGCACTGGAACAGGTTACCCAGAAAAGCTGTGGATGTGCCCTCCCTGTAAATGTTCAAAGCCAGGTCAGATGGGGCTTTGAGCAACTTGGTCTAGTGGCAGACGTCCCTTCCCATGGCAAGAAGTTAGAACTAGACGATCTTTAAGGGCCCTTCCAATCCAAACTGGTTTATGAATCCATAATTCACGTGACTAAGATTTTGACAGCAGCAACTCCTCCAAATGAACAACAGTAAACAAGTCAAAGGATGAGGCCCAACATGCACGTGGTAGTAAAAGTGGTTTTTCCTACTGTGCTACTGAGTTTCTTTACAAAGAGTAACAATTTAAGAGGAAAAAAAGACGACAGTCACGAACAAAATTCATAGATAAGACTTTTCATACCAATAAGCCTTAGAGACAGAAACACAAAACAACGGAAGAACAGAAAACTTGAACCAACCTGTGTTTTGTTTTGAGCTTGAGGAGCTACCTTGTTCTACCTTTGCTTTCTTCTTTTTGGAAGAGGAAGAGTCAGAAGATGGCGCTGGCCGTTTTTCTACTGCTGGTGTGGAAAGGGCACGCTTTTTGAATAGCTCTCGCTCTCTCAATAAGCTTGGATCCATAATTCTGCTACAAGAAGCAGGAGGAAAAACATAAGGAATAGATACTGGCGTCAAGAAGACGGGATACATGTTTATGAAGTTGTTTATTTCTTGTAGCCATTTCTTCCTGTACATGGACTTGAAGAAACCGACCCCTCTGGGGATTTTAAGTGTCAGAACACAGTTTTAGCCCGAGAGTGTGGGGGCTAAGGAGGAAGCAGATAAGGTGATTTCAAAACACCTTCATCACATGGATGTGAAAAAAGGCCGAGGAATCCCCATTCCCCAACACCCACCTCCAGTACCCCGGCCTCAGATCCACCCCACGTTCACCGGCAACTCCAGAATCACCAACACCAAGGGAAACTTTTTCCCGCCGGGAAAGCAGCCCGGTGGGCCCGCTCTCCCACCGGAAAACCAGCCCGGTGGGCCCGCTCCCCTTTACCGATCTTAGCGGCACAGTGGGCCGAGGGGAAGCGCCGACGACGGGCAGGGGCCTCATGA